AAGACATCCACTCCCTTAGAAAAAAGAAAATCTAAATTTATGATTTACAAATGATAATAACCCAACCAGAGGATCCATTAAAAGAACAATTTCCATGTACACTCATTGACACCAGATTTCCACATATAGAATGTCACAAAAGTCTCCTCCACTTTCATTTGGTAAATCCATTGTGCATTTTAATGTTTTCTCAGGCTATACTATGTGCTTTTACTTTGAAGGAAGAAACCTAAAAGCAATGAGCATTAATTTTCTCACAAAATTAACATGACAGAAAGGAGGAGATGGTTTAGATATCCCTCCTGGGGGATTATGTGCATTGCAAAGAGAGACAAAGTTTGGATAGAAACTTGGAAAAGACTGTATGTATAATGGTTCGAATTTTTACTTTTTTAAAGTTCTCCGATTCTCCATGTCCACTCTCATATTTATTCATACTTTAACAGTTGTTGAACAAACACTGTGGACTTTACACAGTGCTAAACAATATAGAGTACAATGGAGAATAAAGAACATAAATGCTAAAATAGATGCTTAAGGGAACTTGTATTCTAATGGGGGAGTGAATAATAAATAATTGATTACAAACGGATTTAATTAAAATTATAGTATGCTTAAAAAGACAAATAAAACCAGGGAGTGACATAATTGGTATTCTGATTCAGTCTTCCTTTAAGAAATAATATTTGAGATTACCTCTAACAAACAAGTATAAGTTAAGTGGGGGGCTGGAGAGGAGTGTTTTCTTGGCAGAGTTGTGGCCTAGGAATGGCCTGAGGAGAGAAGGGTCTCAAAACTTTCATAACAGACCTGAAACCAAGTTCTTTCCCAAGTCACTTTGTCAGATATGGAAATGAGTAAAAGTCTGCCTTTACATTTTATAACCCCCAGAAATATGAAGAGTGGAATATTTAAATAATAGGAGGTAAAGGGGGAAAAAAACTTCAGAAAATAAGAAAAAATTAGGACATTGTAAAGATAGTCAGTACCTCATCAGATGGTCTTTATTAGCCTTTCATTCTCCAGGAGAGAAGTGCACTTCTTTTCAAGAGTCTGCCACACCTGGAGGTGCATCTTCTCTCTGGTCTAGTCCACATTTTAAAAAGTGCAATAATATAAAAATTTCACAACACCGAGGGACATATAATTCACAGTCCCTCCCGCCTCCTATCAAATTCCATTACTCATATTGCATTAATTCCTGCTTGAAGGTTGGAATTTTCATCACTCCTGGCACCTAAACCTGTGGACTTTATACCTGGTTTAGCTGGTTGTTTGGGGTCAGGGGGTATGATGATAGGTGTGCCCATGATAGATAGTTAACTCTTAGGGAACTTTGTACCACTGTTACAGCAAAGGGAATTGTCTGATCCTATCTATTACCTATCATGAGATAGATTGCAATCACATTGTGTATTTGCATATTTCCAAATACAGAAATATTTTATTACCATTTTATTTTGTGTAATCTAGTAACAAAATGAACCTCAGGCAAGTATTTGAATGTTATCTAACCTCTCTTGGTACAGATCCTTGGATATATTATGAGATATAACGTATGGCTTTGATTGGCTTAGTTCACTCAAGAGCAGTGATAAATATTTATTAATACCCTCTGTTAAGAAGGAAAAATTGCGATAAAGCAGATGCCAGAAGATTCAGCTCTATGTGGAAATTTCGCCAAGATTTCCCAAAGCAATTTTTATTCATTCTTTTTATTTCACTATTAAAAAAATCTTTGTAATGTATCCTTTAGAGTGCTTATTGCCATTAGTTAATGCAAAAGGTGATAGCTCTAAAAGAGGGGTGAATCTGTCACACCCTTCCTTTGTTTTTAAGTCTGTGGATATACTTGTATTATGAAAGCCACAGCAAAATCATAGGTTACTCTTAGATTTAAGAAAATTAGAAAAAAAGATATCTATTAGTTGACTCCTCCTTAGCACAACATAGTGTCTCCTTTACTTTTTCACTTTCTCTTTTATTAAATCTTCATTAATCAGAGCAAATAACCTATGATTTGAAAACAACCATTCTTAGGGATAAATATATTACATCCTGACTAATTAAAAATAGTAAGTTTAAATGTGTCAGTTTAGAAAATTACAAAATATTAAAATGACTTTTGAAAAAATTTCTACTATAGACATCTGTATAAACAATATTCTCTTCTGCTTATTACTAAACTAATATACAACAGAGAATACTGTCTCTAAATATCTGGGCTTTCATGTTTGACATAGGTATGAAATAATCAGAATTTCAGAAATATATGCTTTAAGTTAAAATATATATATTATCAGCTCATATATTTTACCTAAAGAGCAGAAAAAATAAAGGAGTATAAACACATATTTCAGCACCACGATCTTAGCACCTGCTCTTCAGCACCTGTTCTTAATAATCTTAAATTTTCAGACTGAAAAATAAATGATTTACTATATTTTAGAATAACACTTAAACATTCTACAGTTTAAACATGTTATATTAAAAAGAACGTATAAGAATATTTTGATGTAAAAATAAATTGGTCTGAGAAACTCTACCACAGAGAATGTTTGCATAAATGGATTAATTAGTCATCTAGATTTAGCAATAGAAAGAATTTATAAAAAGTTCATAGCTTCAAGGACTTGGTTTAAGGCCTTAAATGATGTCAGAGGGGTATAAATGGTTTCATGTCAGGCTTTTCATAGTGGCCTCTGATATCTTCAGACTTATGTCAGCACAACATCAAGTCCAAGTTGGTCCCCATCCCAGGGTTAACATCACTGACTGAAAACCCTGGGTTCCAGATCAGCATCTGCCTGCTTGCCCCAGCAGATCTGTGTCAAAGCTCAAGCCTGCAGGCAGGGTGCCTGTTGGGAAGGGGAGGAAGGGTAGACTTTGAGTCCTGGCTGGGATGACGGGCCAGGCTGTAGGCATCATTTGATTTATAACTTTTATTGTTTAGACAAATGGCATGTTTGGATTCTTACTCCAAATCTTGCAAATGTCAGGGGCCTGGATTAGGTGATGTTAGATATTTCGCTCTCTAACCTGAGAGCAGCAGGAGAGGGACAGGGTAAAGTTTAGATTTTTAAAAATAGCTTGACTGTGGTATAACTGACATAAAATTAATTGCACATATTTAATGTGTACACCTGATAGATTTTGACAGACCAATGAAATTGTCATCACAATAAAAAAAATGAGAATAAAATTCTGAAGAACACATATTCAACAAATGACTTTTGTCTAAACTGTATAAAAAACTCTTAAAATTCCGTAAAGAGACAAACAATACAATTAAAAATGGACAAAATATTTGAACAGTCATTTCACCAAAGAAGATATACAAATGTCAGAGAAGCGCATGAAAAGGTGCTCAACACCATTAGTCACTAGGAAGATGCAGATTTGTATTTTAAAAGGTCACTTAGGCTTCCCTTCAGTGTAAGGATTAGAGATCAGGAAAGGCTTCAGAAAGAACAGTTAAGGGGTTATTGACATAGAACTAGTAAAAGAGAGTGGTTGCTTGAGTTAAGATGGTGGTCGTGGAGATAGGGGGAGAATGACAAATTAGGGAAATACTCAGGAAGTTAAATAGATAGGCCCTGACATTGACTTTGATTTTAGAGAGTAAAATGTTAGAAATGACTTCACATTTTCTGGCTTATACGATTAGGTGGATGATGGTGCCATTCACAAACATAGGGAAGTCTAGAGGAAGACGGGGTGTGAAGAAAAATTAAACTTATATTAAATAAGCACTTTTGAGGTACTTTTGAGACACCAAAGTAGAATCGTGGAGCAGGCAATTGGAGTAAGATGCGTTCTTAGGGTTCGTCAATTTAGATTCCCCTGTTCTGTCCCCATGAAAGGGAAGGAACCTGCTTTCTCTCCATGGTCTAAACTAGTGAAGCAAGAAGAACCTCTTGGTAAAGGAGAGGTTAAAAGGCCTTTTTTAAAATACTCTACTTGGAAACCTCGAGGCACTTTACCAATCTTGAGGTACTTTGAGCCAGGACAAAGTGAAGCCAAAGCTCTTCTGAGTCTCACTGCTCCTCCATTTCCTAGCATACCCGCTTTGCGAACTCCCAACTTATATGTAGATTGCATTTATATAATTGCGGCCTCAGAAAATCAAAAAAATTCTACAGCGCAGGTCATTTAAAATCTTACTAAATGACCTGTCCAGTTTTCCATGTGGATTATAGAATCTGTTGAAGGAAGTAAAAATAAAAAAAAGCATTATTTTCTTTCTTTTTTACCTAATTAGTGAATTCTAACCATACCCTTCTTTAGATCCCTTTTCCATCCCAATCTGGTTCTCACATTCTTAGAAAGAACAACGGGATCTTTAAATTCACTCAGTTTGTGTTGGGAAAGAGGCCAAAATTAGTTAGTGTCCCATTGATAGTCAGAGTAGCCTTCTAGCAGTACAATCTAGGGAAGGCATTTACCCCTCTTCCCCTCCTCTTTTCCTAGTTTGGCATATTCTAGCTTGTGTTTTGCTCTCCCGATAAATATGAGAGAAAATAAAAGACACTATTCAGCTTTCCTTGTCTGAAAAGTTTGGCATTTCAGTGGTTTTCTTTAAAGAGGGGTCTTCATTTGTAACCAGCTTTGCCATTAACGGAAATCAATCTGAATGTCCTATTGTGCATCTTTTTTCTTTCCTCACAGTCTGAAATTGCCTTTGCCAAGTTTTCGAGCTGAACCTGAAAGACCCTCTCATTTTCCCGTTCTCTGCCTCCAGCCCCATTGAATCCTCAAAGAGCTTTCTCAGGCAGAAGGGCTGCAGTGTGAGGACTGGGAGAAACTCGACCTACTCCGCTAACCCAGTGGCCTGAGCCAATCACAAAGAGGATTGGAACCTCACTTGAGCCTCCTTTTCTTTCCCTCCCCCTGCAACAGCCTCCTAGAAAAGACTCTGGAGGGGTGTGTTTGCAGTTTAAATCCTTGGCTTTCTGCCCACCTCTTTTCCAAATAAGAAGGCAGGAGCTGCTACAAGGTGCAAAGGGTTCTTCTAAATTTCAGTGGCAATAGGATCCCAAGATCTTTGCTGCTGTCTCTTTTATCTGTCTTCAAAGCTAACGGTTAAGAACAAGGATGGTGGAGGCTTTCTGTGCTACCTGGAAGCTGACAGACAGTCAGAACTTTGATGAATACATGAAGGCTCTAGGTGGGTAAAAATAAAATGTGGTGTTCTCTTCTTGATCTACCATTTCATCTGCTTGCAGAATCCTTTTTTCACCCATTAGATTGGCGAGCGACAAAGACAGATCACGTTGTCATAATTGGATCCTAGGCTATGTATTTCCCAGGGAATGGATTTTTAATGCCGTAGTTGCCTTTCTTGCCCAGGGCCAAATAATGGTGCGTTTGGTAGCCTGGAGAATATGAAGCTTCTGTGCCTTTGCCATTTTCTCTTCAGCATCCACTTATTGTTTGTGCCTCCAAATAACTATCCACTTATTACAGCTCAGTAGTTGTATTGCGGATTAATGGGCTAAACATGCTCTAGTGAAACTTACACTTTAGGACCTGAGTTCCAAAATAGGAAAACAGTTTCTTGCTTTGTGAGTTGTTTTGGAAGTTGCAACTGACTGTATTGCTTTCTATTTTAGGTGTGGGCTTTGCCACTAGGCAGGTAGGAAATGTGACTAAACCAACAGTGATCATCAGTCAGGAAGGGGACAAAGTGGTGATCAGGACTCAAAGCACATTTAAGAACACAGAGATTAGTTTCCATCTGGGAGAAGAATTTGATGAAACTACTGCAGATGATAGAAACTGTAAGGTAAGAAGCCACTTCTTTGCAGTGGGGATAGGGAGGAGGGAATAAAAGAGAGATTCTTCATACTACTTTTCTTAGATGGTAAGTAATGTTCTCAGTATTTCAATGCACAGAGAAGGACATCAAGGTTAATTCTGCATTCTAGCATGCATAGGTTATGATCTGTACAATGTTTACTTGGCTACAGTTTAAATCTTGAATCTATATCTTACTGTATGTTTTCATATTATATATCAAACCTGTATTTCAGAAAGTATTCATTTAAAAGAATGATTGCATTTTATTTCATCTCTCTGACCGCCTCATATTGACTAAGTAAACAGTTTGCCTCATTCTAAGGCTTTGTTTAAAGGAGAAGGAGGACTAGTCCAAAAGCACTTGTTCAGGATTTTGACTTCTAATATATGAAGTTTTTGTATCTAAATGTACACATTTTTATCAAGTTATGAATTATTTAAGTTTACATAATAATGACTCTAGAAGCAATAGAAGATATGGTACTAATATGATAATTAGCCAATTATGATTTATTCGATCATACAATTCTTTCAAAAATCATTTGACTTGAATATCAGAAATCATATCTGTACCAATTGCTGTGTTCTGCATTTTGTTGTTGTTCTCAGTCTGTTGTTAGCCTCGATGGAGACAAACTTGTCCATGTACAGAAATGGGATGGCAAAGAAACAAATTTTGTAAGAGAAATTAAGGATGGCAAAATGGTTATGGTAAGTAATGGCAATTCTCTCTTCCTCCTTCCTTGGGTTTTACCCCTCCCCCTTTTCCAATCTCCTTCCCTCTCCCTCCCCTCTCCCCATCTGCTACTTCACTCCCTTTCCTCTTCTTCCCTCCCTCTCCTTCCCTGCCTCCTTCCCTGCCTCCTTCCCTCCTTCCTCCCTCCCTCCCTCCCTTCCTTCTAATAACATTAACTCATTAGCAAGGTTCCTTAACAAGTGTAAAACAGAAGACATAAAAAAGATCTTAGCTAAGGCTCTGCTTCTTTAATTACAGAAAAAATATTCTTCGTGCAATTTTAAAAAGTTGCCATTAATTTAGCTAAAATTCGTGTGTCAAAAGAAGAATTTTTGTAGGATTACTGCGAATGCTAATCCTCAAATGAAATCTAAATATAAAGCCAATAATCATGAAAATATATAAAGATGATTGATATTCCTATAAGAATATCAAGCTTGCTGGATCTCAGAAAAATTACTGTATAGCTCCTGTAATAAAGAAGATATCTTTAAACATTTTATATTTTAGTTTATAAAGGTTATGGAAGTTCAGTGTAGATAATTTAGAATATAACATACAAGTATAACAAAAATATAAAAATCTTAATTTCTCCTCAAAGAGAACAATTTTGATATTATTTCCATCTAGTCTTTCTTTTAATGCATAAGGTACCTTTTACAAGTACCTATCAACACTGGTGGTCATGTAAAAATTATAAAATAGAAAATAATTAAAAATAATTTCTCTAATGCTGGAGTAACATCATAAACTGGAAAAATAGCAGAGAGGGTTTTTGTTATTTTAGAAAATTGACTTGTTTCCTCTCTTCTCCTCAACTACTGCAACCAGAGCTGTTCTAGATTGAGATGTAGGGCTTACATATTCATATGTCTTTTCACGAGTGGAAGTGTGGTAGGGTGCAGAGGGACAGTTTTTCTTTCATGAAAGCAAATATTTGCTCACATTTTTCTTCAGTGATAATCAAAAGAAAGGATTCATTTCTAAAAGATTCAATCTGAATTTTCCTTTATGCTTTAACCTCTATTTTTTCCCCGATACATAAAATAGGGTAACTCAATTTTGACTATATGACTGATCAGGCAAAATTAAGTTCAGAAAAGGAGATTAAAACAATGTATGATAAGGGCTCAGTATACTCTTGAAAATCACATTACTATATAAAAATAATGAACACTAAAAAAACCAAAAATTTTTAAAAGAGGTTTTACAGCAATTCTTCAAGTTGGATTTTACATAAGTACCCATGTTTCATGTTATACCATCTAACTACCAAGGTTCACATAGGCTAAAGCATGACAGCCATGTGCATTTACCTTTTCCCGCTGATTTTGGAATAAGTCATTGCAGATACCACTTGCTCAAATGATTTGGATTTTCTAAAAACTTTTTGAAAGTTATGTAAGTCATGAATTGAAAACTGTTAGAAAAACCTACTACAAACTTCTTTCACTTTTGAAGCAGTTAGCTTATTTGGTCTAATTACTCTGATAATCTAAGGCAAAATGAATTCTTTTGACCTGAATCTAGATAGTTAATCTAAGTTTTTGTTTCATTTTCCTTTTAGAGACATCAACTATATACACATTTTATCCACTCAGTAAATATAAAGGTTTCTTTTCTTTTTGTTTTAAGAAATAAAGAACGCATGCAACATTTAATATTTGTAAATGCCTTTATTCTTTTGCATAATATTGAAATCATATATATGAAAACCTTTAAAAATTTCAGCTACGAATGTTCCTGCATAAAAGATTTGATTATCTTTTGAATCTTTCAGACTCTTACTTTTGGTGATGTAGTTGCTGTTCGCCACTATGAGAAGGCATAGCAAGGTTCCTGATCCCGGCTGGAGAAGCTCTACGATTTTTCTGTTTACTCAAGTCTCAGTATTATCCTACAATGACAGTACAGCTGATCACTAATTAGAAGGTTATCCTTGGTGTGAAGGTGAAAAATGGTGATTTAAAAACTTGTTTTAAAAACCTGTTACTTTAGGCAACTAGCTCAATTTTGATCTGCAAATTTATCATGTTTTATAATTTGTATTAAAATTTTAAGCTACATTTTTAAAATTAAAAGGTGAATACATTTTATAATTTCCATTGGAATAAAAATCTTATACTCATGAGAAATATTGTTGTTGTTTTTAGTATCACTAATCTAGGTGGAAATTGCATGTTAGAATTTTAAATAAAATAATCTTTTTTTCTGGCATAAAGTGAGGCTGGAAAAGTTAGCACTTTGTTTAAAATACTAATTAAAAAATAAGCAGAAGACTGAGGAAGTGTGGATAAACCACAGTTTTTGGCTAGGATGCAAAGACATTGTTATGGTGGGTTGTGTAACACAAATGACTTCTTGCTATTAGAAAAGGGCAGCCTGAAGAAGCAAAATGATATGCATGAAAATGTCTTCGTAAAAGATAAATATAATCAAAGTATCGTCTAATTAAAATTTCATATAATTTAAATTTCTTATTGAAAGTTAAATAGAAAAAGGAGTGAATTTTATCATGGATTATAAAAATATGTCTTCGGACAAGTACATTGAGCTGAACTAAGTCCATAAGAATGCTAAAATGGAGTGTGTGTAGAGTGTGCATGAAGGCATTCACATTCCTTTTGTGTGGGAGTTGTAGGAACTGAGTTAACCAAAGGGAATCAAGTAAATATCTGTAACTGGCTAGGATCTGCATTTGTAAAGTACAAACATGTTATTTTATATTGCATTATTTGCAAAATGCTTATTATATATTTTCTCAAACCTACAATGTGAAGCAGGTAAGGCAGATATTACTATTTTTACTTTACTAATGAGGAAGCTGAAGATTAGTTTTACATGCCTAAGTTCTCATGACTAGTGAATACCAAGAACTGGAAATCTTGAAATTTTCCTCTTTATTTTCTCTCAAAAATTAATATTTCAACTTTTTTTCTGAAATAAAATATGTAAGATTTTATATTCTCTGATAATTCCTTAGGAAGTCTTCTCTATTAGCCTCTGGGGGTAGGGAGTTGGGAAAGGGTAAATATTTTTCAGGACAAATATGCAACATTAATTTTTTAATCAACCCAGTGATTTCAGTAAATTTTTATAAGTTAATTCAAGGTCCAATTAACATATACATATGTTACGTTAATAACATATATATGTTAACATATATATATGGACACTTCCTTTAACTTACACAATTTACCACAATGATACATTATTACTTTAAGTACTATAATGGAGAGTAGAAAAATCTAAATTGTGGTTATAGGATTTAACACAGGAATGTGCAATTATTACTGAATGTCAAGATTAAGATTGTCTAGCTAAGATTACCATTCCTAAAATTATAGCCTACTTTTGTCTTTAAAAGGTATGACCTCATAATTCTACTTTTGGGTATTCATCTGAAGAAATCCAAAACACTAGTTTGAAAAGATATATGTATTCTTATGTTCATTCCAGAATTATTTACAATAGTGAAGATATGGGAGCAACAAAAGTATCCATCAATAGATGACTGAAGAAGATGTGGTACATATATACAGTGGAATATTACTTGGCCATAAAAAAGAATGAAATCTTACCAATTGTGACAACATGGATGGACCTAGAGGTTATTATGCTAAATGAAATAGGTCAGAATGACAAATACCATATAATTTCACTTCGATGTGGAATCTATAAAACAAACAGAAACAGACTCATAGATACAGAGAACAAACCGATGGTTGCCAGATTGAGGGAGAGGGGTCAGAAGGCTGGGTAAAAAAGGTGAAGGGATTAAGAAATACGAATTGGCAGTTACAAAATAGTCATGGGGATGTAAGGTACAGCATAGGAAATGTAGTCAATAATATTATAAGAACTATGTATAGTGCAAGGTGGATATTGGACTTATCAGAAGGGGGATCACTTCTGAAGTTATATAAATGCCTAACCACTATGCTGTACCGCTTCTCCTGGAGGACTACTTTCTCTTGGTTGACTTCAGCCTATGCTCTGGTAGAAGCACAGATTCTGGCCTGTCTAATTCTTAAAGATACAAGGCCAAGGATGGGGATTCAGCTTCAGGTCATTATACTTAGGCTAAATAATATCTTTCTGGCATTTATTTCCATAATAGCTGTCTTACGGAGTAAAGAATGGAAGTTTCTGGGTGGCTTAAATAGGAAACGAAGTTATACTGGGCTAAAAGATCAAGAGTTTTAGTGATGGGACAAATGCGTTTCTCTGGGAAGATAATTAACAGATACATTTGCTTCCTAAATGTTTACAAGACAGTTGCAAATAATTTTTCTCCAAGCCATATTCTTCTGTCTCATATAGTAATCTGTCAATGTGCTAATTTTACCTTTTTTTTTTTTTCTGTTAAAAAAATAAAAAATAGCAAGACCAAAGGCAATTTGACTAATAGGCCCTGGAAGAACATTTCTGAAACTCCAAGATTCCAAATATAGAAACTAGGCTAAAGGCTATCTTGTGACATTTAATTATGGAAACTTGATAGCAAGCAGCAGCTCCCCACTCTCACAGGAGTTCTCTCTCACCCAGATATATACCCTCAAGACACCCAGAACATAAGGACCCACAAAAACCCAGGTTTGAGGTACCCAGAGATGTTGAGGCACTGTGCTTCTTAGAGAGTGGGTATAAAGGAAAGCAAAAAAAGCAGAGAGAGTAGAAGGGAGAATGATGTTTCTACCCATTAATTTCAGTATATTGTACATTCAGGATTTCAAGAATTTCTTAGATTTCAAAATATGTATGCCATTTTTATGCTTACTTAAGAATTATTTCACAAGCAATTTTTTTCCTGGCTTATTGGGAAATGAAAACAAAGTGAAAATTGCTATTTTTTTTTTACAGTTTTTCTATTTTTCAAAATGTTTGGACTAGAACCACTAAGTTATTTTGCTGTCTTTACAGTTGCTTTCTCTCATCCGTCCATCATTTTTTTTTTTTCCCCGCTGTTTTCCTCCATACTCTTGTGGTTGTGGACTGAGAAACTAGCAACGGCTCACTGCCCAATGCTCATAGAAGCCAATATTATGACATCGGTTTTTGAGAAGAGAAAAGGCCTTATTGCATGACTGATGAGCAAGGACATAAGAGGCAAGGCTTAAACTGGTTTCCCTGATCCAAGGTTCAGGGTGAGTTTTAAACAGTGAGGGGGAACAGGCTGGTATGCAGAAGTGCTGACAGAGCCGATTTCAATTTGAGGGTTTGGGAATTTGACTGTTTATGGTAAAATATGGTAAGGGGCTTCCGCACCAGATCTTCTGGACAAAAAACGCTTTGCTTCTGAAAGGGTTCTGGTGCTCAAGTTCTTGTCATGTCCCAGTCCTTTGGTTCCATGGCGTGGGGAGTGGGGCGGGGAGTGAGACTTTGGTTCAGATGAAACTGGAGGTCAAAGTTTTCTCTTCTGTGCAAGCTTCAGTTTGGGCATGACTTGCAGTTTTGGTCTGTTATCTCTGAAAAAGCAGCTCAGCATCTTGTTAGAAACAGACTAAGACCAGTTTGAGCTGGTTCTGCAGTTACACAAGGACCATTTTGTCCACTATTGGAAAGTACTTTCATTCTCCAAAGACTTTTGAATCATCCTAAAGCTGAGGTGGGACTTGAACTAACCTGGCAGGACTTGAAACAAAATACAGTTACATTGATTCCCATTTCAAAGCCCCTTTCATGATAAACATTCCTATTTTATTACACAGGACACAAAATAAGGTTTTCTCTAATAGGAAACAAATATACTTCACAATATCTTTTACGAGGTTAGTTATTCTGGAGGGTATTTTCCTATCCAAAGGAATTCTATACCCTAAAAATGTAAACTATGTGTTTCTTTACTTAAAGGGGTCAGCATCCTCATAAATGGTATTGAAAGGTACACAGAATTCGAGGCAGTTCAAAAATCTTGGCTCCTTAGTAAGACTAAATATTGTTAAACAAACAAAATTCAACCAAGTAAATTCGAAGCTCTAATTAGCTTTTTTGATTAATAAATTGGGCAGCACCACACCTAGGAACTAGAAGCATTCTCCACGGGGCAGTACAAAATAAAAGGCTTTTATAAGAATAACGGTGGGGCAAGGGAGCTATTAACAAAAGAAAACAAAGGATTCTTTTTAGAGCTAGACTTCTTTGGGAGGGTGGGGAAGGGCAAGGTTTGTTTGTTTGTTTGTTTGTTTGTTTGTTTGTTTTACCATGTAGATTCCTCTACTTTCTTGGGGGTTTGGGGGGGAGGATGGGGGAGAATGGAGAGGGCCCAAGTGACAGACTACTTTACTGGTGCTTGACCAGAAAATTCCAGACTAGTTGATTAATATTCTGTTTCTGGGAGAGTTTGAATCTGCAAATCAGATACCAATCTAGGTTTGGTATCATGGGCTTTTAGCATGAGACACCACTTTGGGCTCTGGGTTTTGTCTTTAACAGTATCTTCAAAAATTCTTTGGAAGAGTAAAATCAACAGGCTCTATTTATGATTTTCATGCATCTCTGGAATGCATAAATCATGATTCTGAGACATTGTTCTAACTCAGTTGTTAAAAACAAATAAACTGTTAAATAGAAAAAAAATCACGGGCCCAAAATGGCCTCACTTGTGCTAAAGCTCATGATACCAAGCCTAGATTTAATACCAGACCCATTATTGTTTCAGTTTCTCCGGAAATACACTCTTAATCAACCATCTGGAATTTTCTGGTAAACACCAAAGAGGTAATCTGTCGTTTGAACTCTCTTCACCCCACCCTACCCCTAGAAAGATGCAATTTGCATGATAAAAACTCTTGCTCTTCCCCACCCTCCCAATCTAATTTTAAAAATCATCCTTTCTTTTGTTCCTAGCTTCCTTGTTCCACATTTCTTTTGATAAAAACTTTTCCTTTTGTACAACCCCTCCGGGTCCTTTCTAATTGTTAGACAGCACGCTGCCTAATTGATGGATCACTTAATAAAACCAATTTAATCTTCGATTTACTTGAATTTTTTTTTTTTAAGAAACAAAACTGCAAAACCCAGTGTATTGGAGCAGTGGTTATGGAACGTCATCATCACTTTAGCAACACCCCGAGGCTGTTGTGAAAACACAAATTACTGGGCTCCACCCCCTGAGTTTCTGATGCAATAGGGCTGGAGTGAGACAGGGAATTTTCGCCTCTAACTAGAATTCTCAGGTAATGCTGATGCTGCTAGCTTAGGGACAACACTTTGAGAACCACAGTGCTATCCAAAACTTCTGCCTATTTCCTCCAAATCAGGATACTACAAGGTTTTCTGCATCACTTCTGTGGTTTAGGGACAGGTGGCATTTAGGAAAAGATGATCTGCTTGGGGCTGACCCAAACACATTCCTTCCCAGGCTAATCACTGACTCCAAGAAGCCAAAAGGCAAGTAATCGTTAGACAGCGGCTGAAGGTCAGGCTAACCGAGTTCTTGCAGACTCTGCCCTCGCACGTGACCGCTGGGCGTCTACACCTCTTTGCGTCTTCTGCTTCCTCCCCACCTCCGGGGCCTGACCGCCGAGTAGAGTCGCAGGACGAACCCAGTCTCTCCCAGGCCTGTGGCGGTGCGTGGCCCGCGATGGCTCTGCTAGACGTGCTCTTCTGCTGCCTGTTGGCCGTCTGGCACTGCCAACCCGGCCTCGGACTGCCCCTGGCGCCCGCTGGAGGCCAAAGCCCGGCTCCCGCAGTGGGTGAGTCAGACGCTACTCTTTCTCTCCTGGGACCTGCCAGAGAGCGCTGGGGCGTATGCGTCGGCTCAAAGTCAGGAGAAGCGCGAGCGCAGCAGAGAGCCCTGGCCCGCACTCCAGAGAACTGGACCCCAGACGCGCAGGGCGCCAGCTCCCGCTGCTGAGCGCCGGGAGCCAGAGGGCGAGGGCGACGGGGGACCAGGGAGCCAGGTCGACCCTCGGGGAGGTCGGGGCTCGCCTGCAGTGGGGCGCTCCCAGCAGGCGCGGCATCTGGATTCCGCCTCCTATGCAGTGGCTTAACACTTTGTCTCCGGGTGTTTGTTCCTGGGGGAGGGAAAGCAAAGCTGCATGCCTCCAGGAACAAAGCTGGGAGTGAGATGCCCGGCACTCCCAGCGGCCTCGAAGCTGCCCAGAGCGGAGGGGGAGCTGCAAACTTCCCGGCACACTTCAGGGGTGTAAATTTCATTGGGACACAGAGTATCTGCTGTCCTGCTCACCGAGTTTGGTGGCTTTTTCTTGCCACTCCACCAGGCAGAGTACAGTCACAGTCTCCCCTTGCTACCCACCCCTTACTCAATGGTAGAACTCATGGGGCCTTCATTTCACTTTACCTGGATGTTGGACTCTCAGCAGGCAGGACCAGTACCCCCCGCCCCCGCTCGCGCCCTTCATAACACTTAACACAGTGCCTGTTACGGTGGTGGTTCTCAAAGTGTGGTCTGGGACCAGCAGCATCTGCGTCACCCAAACTTATTACAAATGCAAGTTTTCGACCTTTATCCTGATCTACCAAATCCAAAGCTCCGAGAACTGGGGCCCAACAAGATGTTTAACAAACCCTCAAGGTAATTCTGATAGACGCTGGAGTTTGAGAACCACTGGTTCAGAATAAGTAAATGTTGGATGAGAGATTTTACGATGCCATTTGAGATTTCAGTTTCAAAGATCGAGATACCCACACCAAGAAAACTCCCTTTACATAATAATTGCTCTGTTATTTAGAGGAGAGAGCGGTAGGTGGGGTTCCTGTCCTGTGTTTTGGGCATAGGCTTTTCTGAAACCTCTTCTCTGTCATTCTTTCTTTCTCACGCGACTTCGGAAATTCTCTGCGAAAAACGCCTCCTCTTTGTCTGAAAGCCAAGTCCCCGTGACTCAGCTGTCAGGCAATTGAAAGCAAAAACTGTAAATCTGGTTTCCCAATTGTCAGTCATAGCAAGAAATTGTTCCAAAATACTTACGAATGCTGGTTCCTGCTTTTATTAAAGGTGGAGCTGTGTTTAATTATGTGGCTGTTTAGGATTTTGAGATAAAATGTCCCAGGTTGCATGAGACCAATGGCAAATTCACCTTTTGCCTTTAAGAATCTGATTGCTGAAGGCTGCTACTAAACACCTCCCTATTTTGCCAGGAAGCAACAAGGTTGAGTAACCTAGGAAGATGAAGGGACAGGGGTAACTGGGGTTCAAAAAGCTGATGCTTACGTGTTGATTTAGCAGTTTCATGCTGGGTATATTATTTTACATGTTTTTCACTTGATGTGACCTTCCCCTTCTCTCCTTTCCAACCCAAAATGCTTGGACTTCCTTACAACACCCACCATGACTGGCCTCTGCTCACGTGTGTGCACGCATGCGTGCGCATGTGCTCAAATTCCCCCTCTCAGTTTTCTGTCCAGTCAAGTCCTGAGTTGTCAGAGGACAACAATCCAAACTTCACCTGAGTATGTTAGTCACAATTCTTTGATGTAATGGGTCAGGACCTGCTGGACTATTTGGTAGGAACTGATTTCTAAACAAATAAACAAGAGCACCTATTTTAAACAGTTATATGTCCAAACATCTGAATTATAGTTTACTTTAGGGTAAATTAAAACTTTATGAGATGAATTATAAGATTTTTTGGGGTGTAATTTTGAGACTTTACCTAGCTATGTTGACAGCACACCGATAGATATGCACAAACATTTGTGAACATCTTTTAAAGATTATCTGTAGAACAAGAGAATACTTGTGGTGTAGTGAAAAGAAGTTTGAATTATGAGCTAAAGATACTGGATTGGGGTGTGGGCTGTGCCGTAGGCCAGATCTATGGTCTTGGAGATATACCACACACACCACACACACATACAGGGAATTTTGTATGCAGTTTTATTAGAGGTGGGAAATTAGGCCTTTGGAGGTTCATTATTCATGAGTCCCAGGTTAAGAACCCATCAGAGCTTCGTTCTGAACTTCTATTTAAAGATGCTCGTCAGCGCGTCTATTATTATTATCCTTCACTTACCTGTCTGGTAATGCAATGTAGTGGAAAGAACACTGGACTCCAAGTCTAGAGAAACTGGTTCCAGTTCAGCTTTCATTGCTGAGTCACCATGCAAACTTGAGGAAACCCTGAAATATGCCTATGCTTAATTAAAGCATGTTTTTTGAAGGCCCGTTATAGGTCAAACATATTCTAGATGCTGGGGATATATAAATGTCAGTATTAAATGTCAGTATGTCAGGAGGATGTGTCCTTAATGTGTTTCCAGTTTTGGTTTACAAAAATTTAATATATTTATAATCTCATGTCCCTTAATTATCACGGCATCTCACATAGGGGTTGTCATTATCTATTTAACATTTGTCGAGTGAGACAGAAGGACATTTGAATGTGAACACACACAGAGGCAGTGTGTGCAGTGGTGAAGAGCCTCTGGAGTCACATTTCCTGAATCCCTATCTTTGCTCTATTGTGTATGACACGTGTGACTTATACTTTATCTCTGTGTGCTGCAGTTCTTTACCTGTAAAATGGAAATAATGATGAGTTAATACATGTAAAGCATAGAAAAACCAATACTAAACTTATAGTAAATACTTGATAAATTTTAACTATTCCTTGGAAATGAGAAAGTGCAATCTCAAATTCAAACTTGGGTTACAAAATAATAACAGTACAACTGAACTTACTAGATGCCAGGCACCTTTTACGAGCTTTACTAAGTCGCTCACCCCTCATAGAGCAGGTAGTAATAGTATTCCCATTTTACAGATGAAACAAGCCAAGATCACACAGCTAGGTTAGTAAGTGGAGCTTGGGTTCAAAATCAAGCAGTCTGACTGGAGTCTCTGCTCTTAACCATAACACTATACTGTTCTGCGTGCAGTTTACTGTACCATAACATTTTACAAATAATAGAATACATGTTTACATAAAAATGAGATGCACTATATAGTTATTCGCCAAGGAACGACAGTTTCCAGGATGATTCTGAACTATTCACCAACTCCACTTTGCATGTTGGGTAAAGTACGTCTAAACTGGAATAAAAGTTGGCATAGTTTCTGCATTATAGAATAAAATAAATCACCTGGCAAATGTTTTTAAATGTGAACTGTATACCAAGTAATTGACCATAAAAACTATTTTATGTCTACTTTCTTCTAGATCTTTTGTTTACCATCTCTTAGCTGTGAACTTAATGTGTTATAAAATTATAAAATTATAACAACATTGTGAAGAAACAACAACCCAAATATAACTTACCTTTTCTATCTTCACAAATTAACCGTTTCCAATTTTTTACTTTATTATCTCAGCTTTGGGTTTTATTCATAGTGTTTGCTCACATACATACTTAGCATTTTTCATTTTTGTACAGATAAAAGTTTGTGTTCTACTTTGATGCTCCCTGCTTCTGGTATAGTATGTGATGCTATTTTCACTTCTGATATGTTCCTGTTATAAATTACACATAATAAGAGTGAACTCAAAATTCAAAATGTGAAAAAGCCTCAATATTAAAACAATGTATTAACTGCATATGGAAAGGCAATAAAATCATTGGAGATATATGTAAATGGTGTACAAGCAAACTTGAAAGTCTTTCAAAATGAGGTTCAGATTTTGACTCATTTATTAGTTGTGTGTTCTAGAGAAAATTTCCTAATTGATCTGGCTTTAGTTTCATAACTCTATAACGAGAACAACGATTCCTATTGCAGAGAGTAATATGAAAATGAAATGATATTTAAATTGCTTATCACAATGTGTGGCACGTAGTAAATACTTAATAAAAAGAGGTACTGCTATGATTACTAGTACTACTATTTCTTACAATAAAAATGTTTTTAAAGGTGATATACAAGTAGGGATGCTATCAAATGGGTTCAGGGCTTCTCTCTGAAAACTCAATGGAAGTCTCCTCTTTTGCAAATACTTCTCTTAAAATTATTAACATTCTATATGTGTGTGATAGAAGATATTAGTCTACTAAAAACTTTTAAGAACTTCCAGCAATTTTAATTTATGGCTTAAAGCTGGTATTTAAGATTTATATTCTTTTCATTTAATGTTGAGAGAAAAGATTTTACAGGAATTTAAGAGATTCAGTTCCTGGTTCTGTAATCTATTCACTGCATAACCTTAACAGACCACACCATATTTCTATGTCAATTATTCTACAGGAAGCATGTAAATAATGATAAAACCTTAAATTTTGGAAGAGAGGTGGCATTCTATTAAGACAATACAATATTATTATTGGCCTCCCAGAAGGATGTCTCCATATATATCATTATGCAACTTATGTTTATTATATAGTCATACTATCACTGAGTTCCTCAGTTCTGACACATGTAAGTAATAAATTCTAGTATATTGTTCTTACTGACTTTGGAATTCTCATCTTACAGGAAAAGATTATATTTAACTTCAGGGCATATAAACATTTAAATCACTAAGGTTTTCCTTCATCGCTGTCTCTAGTCTTACCGTAAATATTTGCATGGGAATACCAAAAAGGTAGATTAAACACCATTTCTTTTCTAATCAACAGGACAGTTTTGGCACGTGACTGACTTACACTTAGACCCTACTTACCACATCACAGATGACCACACAAAAGTGTGTGCTTCATCCAAAGGCACAAACGCCTCCAATCCGGGCCCTTTTGGAGATGTTATGTGTGATTCTCCATATTACCTTATTTTGTCAGCATTTGATTTTATTAAAAATTCAGGACAAGAAGCATCTTTCATGATATGGACAGGGTAAGTGACTTTATAAAGACCTTTAGTTATTCAATATTTATCTACAGTGTCTTAAGCTTCATTAGAATGCTGAATTCCATAAGATTAATTATGTCTTAAGAATTATTTGGGCTTAAAAAATACTAGGTCAAATTAATCAACTTTATTAAAGGTAAGAAAAATTTTGTCTGTTTTGTTTTAGAATATAAGCTTTAGAAATATATCTATGTTAACCAAGACATGAATCCATAAACACCACATTTGTATCAGCGTTTTGAGGTATTTACTAATGTGATAAATGTCTTGATTAAATAATTGAAAACAAATGGCAACAATGAGAGTTAACCTATGATAGCAATTTTGTAAACATCATCTTCTGGTGGCATAATTAATTCCTTCCATCACGACAGAGTAAAGAGGCCCATACTTCCTGTACCTGCAATAATGCCTATGGCACTATTTTAATTAATTTATATATTGTGACTCATTTAATCTCTATAATGTATGTTTTATTATTATTATTATTATTATTGTTATTATTATTCCCATTTTACAGAGTTGAGTAAATGAAGGCACTGAGGGCACCCAGCTAGTTAAGTGGCAAAGCTGGGATTTGAGTTCAGGCAATTATGGCTCTAGAATCTCTGCTTAATCACTAAAATTTTTTACCTCCCATAAATCTTCAATCATGCAGTGAAATTGACTGAGATTTCTAGTTTACCTTTTGTAATTACACAAAATTTTTAATAGGATTCTCTGTAGGAGAAAGATAAATGAAGAGTAGTTAATCAACTTTTTAAACTATCATCTGTTTTGTTTTTTTTTTTGGTGGAGATCTGCAATGATAGTACAGCAAGACATCACACATAAGTCTAGCAACTTTTTATAGAAACTAATTTTATTTTCTGTGGTTCTGTGTCCTTTTCAGGGACAGCCCACCTCACGTTCCAGTGCATGAACTCTCAACAGACATCGTCATAAATGTGATTGCTAATATGACAACCACCATCCGGAGTCTCTTTCCAAATCTCCAGGTTTTCCCTGCACTAGGTAATCACGACTATTGGCCACAGGTAAATTTGACCTCAACTTCCAGAAGTGCTAAAAGGAATTTTCCCATCAGTAGTGTTAAAACTATGACAATAACTAGCTGATGATGGGACATGGGAGTAGGGCTCATGGAGGCAGAGTGTGCTCTTAATGCTAACCAATGAGGATGGCAAGGTGACTTTAAAGTGACAATTCATTAAATAATACGTCCATAGTGGGTTTTCAGAAGCACTTTACCTAGTTTGTGAACTATTATTTTTTGTTTTCCTTTGTAATCTTTAATTTCTCCTTTCTTTTGAATAATTTTGTCATTTATTTGCATATCTATGATAAGGTTAGCAAGGAAAGTTAATGTTGACAAATGTTAAGTTTTTCAGAATTTCAATGAAGCATACAAAGCTCTCTATACACTAAGGTAAACTGTAATTAAAAACTTTAAAAACATAGCAAACTATCATAAGACCTAAAGAGAGAGGTCCACATTCAAGTCCAGTTTATCCAATTAAGATGCGATTCAAGGCAGAGACTATGTTTGGAATATTTAATGCCTAATATAGTCTGGGCTTCAACTTATCAGAGTGGCTGTAAATTAAGAAGCCTGTGCATAACAGCTGGATAGCAGCCTGGTTACAGGGTCTTGTTATAATAGCATAGAATCTTAGATTTATACAGATGCAAGAGATCTCAGAGATTATTGTTATAGTCCAGGGATTGGCAAGCTATAGCTTGTGGTCCAAATTTAGCTTATCAGTTTTTTTTTTGTAAATAAAGTTTTATTGGGACACAGCCATGGCTATTCTTTCTGTATTGCCTGTGGCTTTTGTACTGCATTAGCAGAATAGAATATCTGTGACAGCGATCATATCTTTCATAAGCCTATACTATTTGCTATTTGGCCCTTTATAGAAAAAAATTTGCTGACTCTGATCTAGATCTATTTTTCATTTTATGGATGAGAAAACTGAGGCCTGGAAATGTTAAATTGCTCATTTAAGTGCCCACAACCACTTAGAGGCAGAGCCCACATCCTGGATCTTTTGTGTTCAATTATATCAACATTCTTTCTCACACCCCTTGTTCTTGCCAGACTAACATAATCAGTATCTCCAAACATGATGTTTACTTTAGTGGATCTCTTTAGCTGCATTTTTCTTTTTGCTTAGAAAATCTTTTCTAGCTCATGTCAAAAGGATGCTTTATGAAAATCTTGATTATAATGGTTAATCTAACTTAAATACAGTGATCTTGAAAAGTTATACTCTAGGATGAGCTTAAATTTTAAGTGACTTCTTGGCACTGGCCTCCAGTCTTGAGATAAACAATATGTGAGTCTTTGTGAATTGGTCTCTCAAGTAGTGGTCAACTTTTGTTACCACTGAGATATTAGACCACACAGTAGAGAGGCTGAGGGATGAACAATCTTGAGGAGCTAGAGGTTACATACATTGTTTTTATATGCTTTAGGTAACGGGCAGACTGGTGTGGTAGAAGTGTGGGGTTTATAGTCACATTCACTAGAATTTAAATCTTTATCCTGCCCTACTTCTAAAAGGATGAACAATTTGGATAATTCACTTAATGTCCCTGATCCACTCATTTGTAAATAGGAGCAATAATACCTACCTTGCAAAGTTTGTAAGAATTAGTGATACTATATGAAAAGGCATAACTTCCTACCTGGCACATAATAAGCCCTCATTAAGTGGAATGGTGGTTATTATAGTGTTAAGCTGTGACATAACTCCTAACTCCTTTGAGGATTTATTTCATTTTACTTTTATCTCCGTCTTCTTTTTAGGAAGTCATATCTTAATAATAATTCAAAGATATAGCTACTATCCACCTTCTAAACAATATCCTATTATTATGTACAGCTAAGGTAAATTGTGCAGCCTGTATAACTTAAATGGTTAATTTTTTTCTCTTTCTTGCCTATGACTTTATGTCCGAAAATCTTTCTGTTATTCTACTGCCATCCTTCCACCCCACGTTTTATATTTCAGGACTATCAAATGTAACAAGAAAGGCCCACAACAAATTTTACTAAAGACTGATATCTGAGATCAAATTCTGGTGAATGTCAATAACAAATAAATATGACAAGTATTATTTTCATTAAAACTCCATAAATGTGTATAACCATAGCTACATAAACATGCATATACAGATGTATGCCTCCACCCATTCCATCAGAAGTTGATATTAGTGTGGGTAGTCCACGGATTTTTTCCAGTTGCTGCCCAAGAAAGCAGTCTGGGCTAGGGTCCTCGTTTACTCCTGAACTGGTAAGGTAGGTGCCACGAAACTTATGGGCGGGTCACCTCTCATTACACTGTATACCTCATTTCTCGCCAGTGGTCATGTCACAGCTTAAAAGGACTGAGATGATAGTATGATGCAATAGATAATTGGATGTAAGAGTGATGGTGCAAAGACTTGGGATTTAGACCAGCTCTGGGACTGACCAGTTGTTCCTGGACTAAGCACTTAACTTATCTAATTCTCATATTTAAAATAGAAAAGTCTAGTCTGATTTTTATATAATTTTAAGATTCTACATAACTAAGCAATATCTTGGCATCTATCCCAAAGTAAACAAATGGCTAAGACTTACATTTTTTGATGATGATGATGATGATGATGATAATGACCAATTTTTAATCAGAATCTAGATTGGCCTAAACCATTGTGTAACCTTCAGACAGGTGACTGATCTCTAACAGACTGGAAATATACTTTAGATAATTAGTTCCAGTTAAAACAAATCATTTGGTTATTACTTGCCCAGAATGTATTTATACTTTCATCATGTATTAGGCATATGTATTAGAAACTAATGTGACTTGGGTATCATCTTGAAAAATAACTAAGCATTTTAATTAATGCTAACAGGGAAACTCCTTTAAGAAATAGGTATCTATCACTAATACATGGATGAAAATGAGGAAAGTGAAAAAAAATGGCTTCAGTATTTTAATATAACTTTTTAAAACAAAAAAAATAGAAGTGATCCAATTTTACAAATAATTTCTGTGTTTTTATTCAGTATCTATTTTCTTAAAGTTTTGTTTTCTTCTTCCCAAGTCTTTTGTCACCATAAAGATACTTTATTGTCGTATGATAAAATAGGATGATAAAAGATACTTTATGATAATAAAAATAATGTTTTATATATCTAGTATAGTATTAAAAAAATAACATTGATATAATTTAGGCTGATATAAAAAACTTCTTCAGATCAAAAGCTTGTGGTTATAAATTTTCATTCTAGAAGTTAAGAAGCTTTATATTAGTGTTAACATTTCGGAGGACTTGGTTTAATTCTGAAGTCATAAAATTTTCTCCATTCCTTTCACAAGTTAAACTAGGCCCTGCATGTTCAGGCCCAAATCTTCCTTCAGTGTCTCTTTAATGAGCACACTCCCACATCCATCCTGTACCTGAGCCACACTAAAACAAGTTCTCTTTTCTGTATATGGCACTATGTTTGTATTGGCTGTTGTTTTTGCTTGATGCCTTTCGAAAAATATGTAGTTAATGTACAATGTTATATTACTCTCAGGTGTGACATTTATATACCTAACAAAGTGGTCACCATGGTAAGTCTAGTAACCATCTGACACTGTACAGGGTTATTGTACTATTGACTGTATTTCCTATGCTATACTTTATATCCCTGTGACTTACTGATTTTATAACCAGAAATTTGTACCTCTTGTTCCCTTTCACCTTTCTCTCTCTTTCCACCTTCTTTCCTTCTGGCAACCATCAATTTGTTCTCTATACCTATGAGTCTATTTCTGTTTTGTTTTGTTCATTTGTTTTTGTTTTTTAGATTCCCCATATTATAGTGGAGGGATAAGAGAAATAGTCAATTCACCATAACATAGGGGGAAAAGAGACAAGTGACATGTAATGAAAAAATGATTTGTGTATTTAAGAGAGGGAGAAATTGCATCTGGTAAGGTGAACTGGAAAGGTTTCAAAAAGAAATTGTATTTAATAAAGAACTTGATGAATCATTATTCAAGGCCTGGTTCAAATTCTCTCTTCGGTCCACTGACTCTTTGGACCAGACTTGATTGTTCTTGCTTCTATACTCTTAGAAGCTCTGCAGTAGCACCTAGCACGTTGTCTTACAGGTGATTGGTTATATTTTGTCCCTGTCTCCCCAACTAATTTATAAATTTCTTGAAGATTAAGTCTATCTAATATTCATCCTTGCATTTCCAGATGCTTTACACAGCAGTAAGAACTCAAGTAATGTTTAAATTAATTAACCTACATATCTTTAGAATTTCAATGGTGAATGATGTTGTTTGTGGCCAGGATCAACTGCCTACAGTCACCAGCAAGGTGTACAATGCGGTAGCAAACCTCTGGAAACCATGGCTAGATGAAGAAGCTATTCATACTTTAAGGAAAGGTAAGTGAAAGATTTACTCATTCTTTTTTTTGCCTCTATTTTTATTCATGTCGTTTAGACTTAGATCTTTAATGTTTGCTTGGATGTACCAATTCTGGAATGCCTATGTACCCAGATTTTCTGGAGGCCATAAGTCATGCTGAAGAGAGGCATGGAGGGTGAGTGGGCCCAGGGTAAATGAAGCGAGGCCAAGATCTCAGTGGCCAGCGCTGACAGTAGACTCCTGGGTGTTCCATCACTACTGGTTCATTGGTGAGTGGAGTTATGTCTTTAAGCCACATCCCGACAGAGACTGTAGCAGCTCTGGTTTGTCTGCCATTTCTTCAGTTGTTCCTGGCATGATTCATGTGTGTTTTCTTCTTTGGATTTTGTATTTTACAATTATTCTCTGAGGGCTAAATTCGTGTACTTATTAACTCCCCAGTCATACAAAAGTAGGAGTAGATGTATTAATCTTTCTTTTCCAGAATTAGTACCTTATAGCCTAGTGCCAATATATTTAATTATTTTTTTCATCTGAATATTGGATACCATGTTGTTACCTCTGTATATGGAAGTGCCAGTTTTGGACTTGGCACATGGTGAGGTTTGCAATAAATGTTTGTTAAAACTGACTCATCTAATGACAACTTATGTATGTACAGACTAAACAATAAGAAATAAATATAACCATCCTGACTGGTTTATAAACCTTAATTAAGAATTTGCTTTCACAGTGACTGCATATCTCTGTGTGTGTTTTTCTAGAATATGTTTTATATTTGTTTTTGTAGGTGGCTTTTATACACAGAAAGTTTCAACTAATCTGAACCTTAGGATCATCAGTCTAAACACAAACTTGTACTACGGCCCAGATGTTGTGACCCTGAATAAGACTGACCCAGCAAATCAGTTTGAATGGCTGGAAAATACACTGAATATCTCTCAGCAAAATAAGGAGAAGGTAGATTTCATAGACCAAAATCATCAGGGGATAAACAGAGGGCTAAACTTGTGTATTTATTAAATTTAAAGGGGTTCAGGTATTCATAAATGTATTAAAATTTGAAGATATTTTCACATGAAACACCTTATGTTTTCTCTCTGTTTATTTTGTTTTGTTTTTAGTGTTTTGAGGATTAATTGACATCAGTTCATATAAGATAAGACTGATATAAAAACAAATTGTGGCTGGTGTCAGAGTTACCTTATATCATCAACAGTGTAATTTAAATGAGACAAGAGCAAATTAGTGAAATTGTTTCCTAATTTCATATTTTTTTGGTAATAAATAAGATAGTATATTTGCTTTCTAAATTTAATTAATATACTTTTTATCTTGAGTAAATGTCATTTAGTTATGACAAATGTGCAAGAAGATTTTCATTAGTCCTTGTGTTTCTTTCCCCAGGTGTACATCATAGCTCATATTCCAATGGGGTATCTGCCCTATTCAATGAGCACTACAGCCTTGAGAGAATACTATAATGAGAGGCTGGTAGATATTTTTAGGAAATACAGCACTGTCATCGCAGGACAATTTTATGGACACACTCACAGAGATAGCATTATGGTTCTTTCAGATAAAACAGGTAATAACGATATTTTGTTTGTATCTCTCCAATCCAAGATGCTAGAGCAAAGCAGAGAATCTCCAGTAATTTTTACTGATTTAGTAAATTAAATGTTTCATTCAATCAACCTGCCAACACCAGCTTTTACTTAATTATCTTTCATAATTGTATGGTGAGTGGCCAAATCATATTTAGGCCTGAAGTTGGGTTTCTTCCTGTTAGCTCCACAGGGCCACTGTCATCAAGTTTAGAGAAATATTACTGTTTTATATTTACCTGCTAGACTTAAGTTTCTTTTGATATAATTTGTCTTACTTCTCTGAAGTTAAAGAATAAGGCACAATTTACCATTGATTTAAAAGAAAACACATTAAGCTCTTTTAAGTGCTATTGACATTGTCATCTTCTCATCATTAAAAGAAAAAAAAATAGAAGAAACTCTAACATCAAACAAAAAATGATTATCTGTTTAAAAATTACTTCTGCATGAGGGCAGAAAACTGAGAGTTAACAAAATGAGAGTTCTGATATTATAGCAGTCAGCCAGGAGAAGAATCAATATATGTATATATATTTTTCAATAATAAGAGAACAGTATTGCTTTACCTCTTTTATCTAAAATGAGCATTTGATAGCTTTTTTACTCAGAAAGAAATTCAGTTCTATGATATATATAAAGCATGATGACACTTTAATCAAATTTTTATTATGTAAAAATGTAATAATTGGAATATTTTCTCAAGTAGAGTTACAGAACAAACTAGGTTTTTGCTTTTGTGTGTGTACTTGTAATAACTTGATTTTTTTATTATGAAAAATTTCAAATGTAAGAAAGCAAAGATAATTATAAAACAACCCCCCACATACCATCACTTATATTTAACATCTATCAAGATTTTGCCACATTTGCTTTACCTATCTACTTTTTAGTCTTTTTTTCTGAACTATTTGAGAGTGAATCTCAAACATCGGATTAGTTTCAGCCTTACTTGCTTCAGTGTGCATTGCTAAGATATATAGGTAACTTACATAATCATAATACCATTAACTTACCTAAACATAACAATAATTCTTTGGTTTCATTTAATACCAATTCTTAACAAAAATTCCCCTATTTTCTCAAAAGTGTCTCTTTGCAGTTGTTTCAAGTCAGGATCCATCAAGGATCGTATATCATTTAGCTGTTATGTCTATTAATCTCTTAATCTGAAACTTGTTTATCATTTTAATATAGCTCAGCTCAGCGTCTAAAAAAATATGTTTATGTGCACATGTTTTGTCCAGGAAGTCCAATAAATTCTTTGTTTGTGGCTCCTGCTGTTACCCCAGTGAAGAATGCTTTACAAAAACAGACCAACAATCCTGGTATCAGACTATTTCAGTATGATCCTCATGATTATAAATTATTGGTAAGTTGGAACAATTTTTTTTTTCACGCCTACAGCATTTGGTCTTCCTAGGTGGTCTCCCATCCAAGTACTAACCAGGCCCGACCCTGCTTAGCTTCCGAGATCAGACGAGATTGGGCACGTTCAGGGTGGCATGGCCATAGACTGGAACAATTTCAGAATTGACCCCATACTTATGGATGTCTTTGTAGTTTTCATTAGTTTAATTGAATCTTTTCAGTGCAGCTATGCGAGTTGTTTTTTATGTTAAAATCTTATGAGGTCTTTCTTTTTTATATTTGGAATGTCAATATTTTCTAAGTGTGGGTTTATGAGGTCAGCCATTGAAACTCTTTTTCTCTAAAACTTCTCTTCTGAAAACTGTACATTTATTCAGATGACGGTTTCATTGGATAGTGTCTTATCTGTAGTCTTGTATACGTGTTGGAACTTTTCATTAAGCCATATTTGTTATTAAATACTCTTCTTCAGAACATGCTGTGAAGAAGAGTGTAGGTTCTGAATCCATACTCTCTCATGAACTGTATTGCTTAACTTCTCTGTCTCAGTCTATTACTCTGCAAAACAGGGATTAAAATATCACTGACTTCACTGAGTTGCTGTGAGGATTACACAAACAAATACATGTAAAGAACTTAGAAAGATGCTTGGCTCATAGTAAGTGCTCAATAAATGAATAAATGTTGGCAAAAAATTTGTAAAGAAAAGCTGAATTGAACATTTATCTTTGCAATGAAAGCTCTGTAGAGCTTGTATATGACTGCTTTAGATCAATTTAGTATCAAAAGATTGGGCATTTAGCTTATTGGTAAAGCTCCTTTTAACAAGTATAATCTGAAAAGAATTTCTGAATTAAAGTCTTTTGATCTAACTGCATTTTTTCCCCTAGATAAATTGAATTGGAGTTAGCTCTGTTATTCCTTAGAGCATATTTTTGCACAGGAGGTAGGGCTAGAGAAATGTGGTTTAATCTGTGGACATTAGATTAAATGAGGAAGTAAAAGAATCGACTGATAAACTAGTCCAAAGAAATTCTTTTACAATTTTTTGTTGCCTATTTTTGGATCTGAACCTCAGACACACACGTGTGTGTGTATGTACATGTATGTATATGTATATATAAGAACTGACTTAGAGCAATGTCTCTGATAGAACACTAAATAATTTTTAAAAGTGCAAAACAGTTTGCATAGTATGACTTTATTGTTTTAAAAAAGCCAAAAAAAAAAACCCAAAAAACAAACAGTAAATAGCTGTATATATTCTAAATATTTATATTTGTTTTGTACATAAAGTCTAGAACAACACATGTACATCGGAGTGCTGGTAAATGTTTAACAACCTGTTCACTGGGGGGAAAAAGCACTTTGATTTGTAGTGTTTGCCAATTTTCATGATATAAATACTCCCATCATGACCTATTAAGGCTGCCAAAATAGTATCAACTAACTCACAAGATTCCTGAAGATATGACAACCAGCTTTTGTGAGCTGGTAAGAGCCACCTCCAGCATACCACTGATGTGTCCAAAACTATTCGCAGTGATTAGTTCTGAGTTGTGCGAATTGAAAGCTTTTTATTTTGTACATCTCTCTGTGTAGTTTAGATTTTTCTATTATGTTTTTTCATGGATTTTCTACCAGGACTCTTTTTCTTTAAAACCAATTCTCACTTTTTTAAATGACTACAACTTTAATTTATATTACATAAATCCCAATAAGAAGTCTTCTTGCTGTGCAGTATTATATGCCAAAAAATGAACTAGGGTTTATTACTATTTTTAACTATAGGATATGTTGCAGTATTATTTGAACCTGACAGATGCTAATCTAAAGGGAGAATCCAACTGGAAACTGGAATATATCCTGACCCAGACCTATAACATTGAAGATTTGCAACCAAAAAGTTTATATGGATTAGCTAAACAATTTGCAATTCTAGACAGTAAGAAATTTATAAAATACTACAATTACTTCTTTGTGAGTTATGACAACAGTGTCATTTGCAATGAGAAATGTAAGGTATTTCAAATTTGTGCAATTACGAGTCTTGATCATAATTCCTATGTAGATTGCCTCAAACAGTATTACATGAAGCACCATCTATAGTATTTCACAATTTGTGTTCATGGAACATGTAACATAGGTCTGTTTCTGATCAGTTGTGGGAATTGTTACATCTTTATGAGTTACTGAGTGGGCAAGCAGAATTCCTTTCTTTCTTTTTTTTTTTTTTTTTTGAGTCAAAAGGAAAGTTTATTAGAAAAGGGTAACACTTCAAAGAGTGTGGTCTCCTCTCAGAGGTAGAGAGTGAGAGGGACATTGAGAGAGACAGTAAGAGACAGAGTAAAGGCACTGAGAGGGATCAGAATTCCTTTTTTTGCTTTCTTTTTTATGATGCCCAAATGTAGATATTTTTAATATTCTAAATTTTTATGAATGTATTTAAACTTCTCATTACTGGAATAATGTTCAGATATAAATTTTTTATCTTCCAATTGATATAATTATATAACTAATTTATACTCTTGTTGAAATTGTCATTTTTTACAATAAAGCAAAGAACTTCTTCCTAGTATGACTTATTCTTAATAAGATAATTTTCAGTCTTTTAATTAACTCTTGTTAAAACCTTATGTGTAAACTTAGGTTCAAACTGTTTAAATCTCATGTGTAAACTGAGGTTAACACTATTTACATGCCTTATCTCCTCTTGCGAAACACCAAGGTCTCCTTAGGGCTGCCGCTGAGTCTGAAACATCATGGGAATTGTGTTACCTCTCTGTCTTCACTCTTCGAGTGAACAGGAGTGCTCATTAGTACTGCTTACTTTTAAGAAAGATTGTCACAGTTGCACTTATTGTAACTGTAGTACTAGCACAAGGAGTAGGTCCCGGTGCAGTGCCTGACACTTGGTAAATATGCATTGAAATGAATTTAAAAAGTTTGACTGTTTCTCGAAGAAGTATACCAGTACAATAAAGCAAAGAACTTCTTCCTAGTATGACTTATTCTTAATAAGATAATTTTCAGTCTTTTAATTAACTCTTGTTAAAACCTTATGTGTAAACTTAGGTTCAAACTGTTTAAATCTCATGTGTAAACTGAGGTTAACACTATTTACATGCCTTATCTCCTCTTGCGAAACACCAAGGTCTCCTTAGGGCTGCCGCTGAGTCTGAAACATCATGGGAATTGTGTTACCTCTCTGTCTTCACTCTTCGAGTGAACAGGAGTGCTCATTAGTACTGCTTACTTTTAAGAAAGATTGTCACAGTTGCACTTATTGTAACTGTAGTACTAGCACAAGGAGTAGGTCCGGGTGCAGTGCCTGACACTTGGTAAATATGCATTGAAATGAATTTAAAAAGTTTGACTGTTTCTCGAAGAAGTATACCAGGATTCAGCAGTGGCATTTTTTTTTTTTTTGTCACAATATTCTTAGGATAAAAATAAGCTTTCATTCCATGGGGTTGTTTTTAGGCTTCTCCCATGATTGTTTTCCTCTGACCAGCTTCTCTCAAGCTGTTGTTTACTTCCAGGCTAAGTGAGAGAATTAAAGTAGAAAAGAAGA